CTGGGCTGGGAGAGGCAGGGTCTGGCTGGCTGGGCTGGGAGAGGCAGGGATGCTGGCTGGCTGGGCTGGGGGAGGCAGGGTCTGGCTGGCTGGGGAGGCTGGTGCTGCAGCTCCCCCCGGTGGCATGAGGCGACAGAGCAGGCCCAAGCTGCAGCTATCCAGGCCTGAAGAGGGGCAGCAGCAGGTGAGGGCGTGGGGGGCAGCGGCCCAGATGGAGGGAGTGTGCACTGGGTGGGATGAGTGTGGAGGATGCCATGGCCTGGGATGGATGCAGAGGGGTGATGAGAAGGGACCAGCACTGAGAGAGACACGATGTTGTGGGTTTTAAAGGGAGGCCAGAATAGGGCTCGTCCTGGAGACCAGGGGCCGTGAAGGAGGGAGGCAGGGGGGAGCTAGAGCCAGAAGTGGCATGGGCAGACCCTCCCCAGTGCAGCCAAGCCAGGTACACACACGGTCCCACCCATCACTCTTGTGCCATGAGACCGGGGTACCCAATCGCCCTTTGGCCCCTTCATTACTCTGGAGACCTGAATTATGCCCACTCTGACTCACTGCATGGAATCATAGAAATGTGGGGCTGGAAGGGACCTTGAGAGGCCACCTAGTCCAGCCCCCTGCACTGAGGTAGGACCAAGTAAACCCAATTCATCCCTGACCATGTTCGTCTAACCTGTTCCTGAAAACGTCCAGTGATGGGGATTCCACAGCTTCTTTGGTAACCTGGTCCAGAGCTGAACTAGCCTTAGAGTTAGGAAGTTTTTCCTAACCTCAGGCTCTCTTGCTGCAGAATAGGCCCATTACTTCTTGTCCTACCTCCAGTGGGTGTGGTCTGGAGAACAACTGATCCCCATCCTCTTTAGAACAGCCCTTCACGCAGCTAAAGACTGTTGTCAGGGCCCATTTCAGTCTGCTTTTCTCCAGACTAAACATGCCCAGTTTTTTAAACCTTTCCTCAGAGATCAGGTTTTTTCAACCTTTTCTCATTTGTATTGCTCTCCTCTGAATGCTCTCCCCCACCCACCCCGTTTGTCCACGTCTTTCTTAAAATGTGGCACCCAAACCTGGATGCAGTACTCCAGCTGAGGCCTCCCCAGTGCCGAGTAAAGCAGGACAGTTACTTACCTCTTGTGTCTTATATACAACACCCCTGTTAATACAACCCAGAATGATAGTCGCCTTTTTTGCAACTGCATCACACGGTTGGCTCATATTCACTTTGTGGTCCATTATACCCCCCAGATCCTTCTCAGCAGTGCTACCACCTGGCCTGTTATTCCCCACTGTGTAGTTGGATTTGTCCTTCCTATGTGTAGTACTTTGCACTTGTCTTCATTGAATTTCATCCTGCTGAATTCAGACCAATTCTCCAATTTGTCAAGGTCATTTTGAATTTGAGTCCTGTCCTTGGGGTCACCTGTAGATTTTATAAGCATACTCTCCACTCCATTATTCAAGTCACTAATGAAAATATTGACTAGTACTTGACCCAGAACTGACCCCTGTGGGGCTCCACAGTTCCCCCAGTTGGACAGCAGAGCATTGATTACTATTTGAGTACAGTCTTCCCACCAGTTTTGCACCCACCTGATTGTAATTTCATCTAGGCCACATTTCCCTAGTTTGCGTATGAGGATGTCAGGTGGGACTGTGTGTGGTCCTACAGGCACCCCAGCACCAGAGGGCAGGAGGCTGTGTAGCAGTGCTTTCCAGCAGGCCTGACCAGCTCAGTGCACCCCACACACAGTTGTCATATTTATTTAACAGGTGTCTTGTAAGATGTCATTGGAAAATTAGCAACTCACTGATCATCAATATTCTTGCCTGATGGGTGTATGGTTAACATATAGCGAATTATAAATATGTTCCGAAAATGTGTGTGGGGAGCAGGGCTTAAGGCACCTGCCCTAGGAAAAGAGTGTGGTTCCACCTGCTTAAATGTGTCTCCAGTGTAAAGTGAGTGAGCAGAGACAATGGAAGTACATTTCCATAGAAGGTAAACAAAGCCATCAAACTAGTGAGGCGGGGAGAGAGCCACATAACTATCACCGTGGGGGGAGGAGACTAGAAAGTAACTGAACTGGGAGAACGTCCTGGCTTGGAACACAAAGATAAGCTTTGAGGCTATAAGCAGAGAGAGCCACTATGGAATCTTTCACCTGAGGAGACAAAAAACCCAAGATGTCATGGGCTCTACTCACTGCTAGGGGCCCCTCCTCCTGGCCGCTCTGGGGATTAGCTCCTTCCAGGTGCTCCACCCTCCTCTGGCGGTGTCGCCACCCATCATCCCCTCTCACCCTGCAGCCTCTCTCATTCAAAGAATCATAGAAGATTAGGGTTGGTAGAGACCTCAGGAGGTCATCTAGTCCTGCTCAAAGCAGGACCAGCCCCAAATAAATCATCCCAGCCAGGGCTTTGTCAAGCCGGGCCTTAAAAACCTCTAAGGAAGGAGATTCCACCACCTCCCTAGGTAACCCATTCCAGTGCTTCACCACCCTCCTAATGAAATAGTGGTTCCCAGGAGCAGCACCAGGGTTTTTGCCACCTTAGGCAGCAGCGCTCCTCCTCTGAGCATTCAGGGGGCCTGGGGTCTTCGGCGGCGGGGGTCCTTCCGCTCCGCGTCTTCGGGGCACTTTGGCGGCGGGTCCCGGAGCGAGTGAAGGACCCGCCACCAAATTTCTGCCAAAGACCCAGAGCGGAAGGACCCCCCGCCTCCGAATTTCCACCGAGGGCTAAGGACTGGGCAGCCACGTTTGAAGAAGAACTGTGGTGAGAAAACTCTAGGTGCTTAGAAACCGAGTGTTTAATAAGTTGTTCCAGTATCTTTCCAGGCTGGCTCGTCGATAATCCCCGGGTCCTCTGCATTTCCCC